CTTTCCTTCCACTAAGTAGGTCCCAGGGATCAAACTCAGGCAATAACTGGGCGGCAAGCACCCTTAGCTGTTGAACCATCTTGCCAGCTCTTCACCTCACTTTTGTTGAGAGTGGCTTCCTCACTAAACTTGGAGCGTGTTGAATCCTCTACGCTGGCTGGCCATGGAGACACCAAGATACACCTTTCTCTCTGAGTCTGCCCTCCACCCAGCACTAGAGTGTTGAAGACCCAAACTTGGGCCTCCTTGTTTGTACAGCAAGCGCTTTAACCCTGAGCCATCTCCCAGGCCCCGTTTTTAGATATTGATATTGGATGCTCTGTGTCCCCTGCAGAGACATTACTCTGTCCTTGTCCTGTGGCTGTAACCAATGCTGGCTGCACTTTCACAGCCTTGGTATCTTCCCTCTGGCCCCGGGGCTCCTGCCTTCCGGTTCTGGAAACCAGCCTATGCCCTTCCTCCCAGAGCAGCTGCCTACTGTGCTCCACAATGATCCACTTTGATCCTGATCGAGACTAATGGGTTCCCCAGGCTCCTCAGCCCAGCCTTGGCAGGCAGGCCTACTGCTGGGCCCATATCCTATCCCCACTCCACAGGAGAGAATGACTGGGATAGAGGTAGAAGCCTGAAGAGAGAACAGAGTTTAGCCCCTGTGACAGCAGCTGTGCCTGGTAAATCCTGAGTTCTAAGAAAGAGCTGAGAAGGCTAATGAGCGCACACACCAGGCAGCACCAAGCAGAGCCGGCTTTCTCTTCTGCAAGTCTCCCACTGCTACAAAAGCAGCAACTTCTGGGGCCTGAGGATAGTTTACCACCAAGCATGACAACCTGAACCAGGACCCCAGGACTCACGTGATGGAAAAAGAACTGACTGCAGAAAGTCTTCTCTAACCTCCACATGAGCATGTGTGGGAACACACTCTCTCCTCTCCTCTCCTCTCTCTGTCTCTCCCTCTTTCTCTCTCTCTCACACACACACACACAAACACACTACAAAATTAATTTTAAAAGTTTTTTTTTTCTTTTTTTTTTTTTTTTTTAATTTTCAGAATCAGAGACTCCCCGAACTGGAAACACACAGCTTTTTTCTCTGTCTACTTCCCGCCCACACTCTAATTCCCTAGACTGTAGTCCACAAGAGGGACTTCCCATAGCCTCTTCACCCCCAGCCATAGGGAACCAAACTTCCACACATGCAGTCCATTGTGGCTTTAGACAGCGAAATGGATGACGTTTCCCTTATGTGAGTAAGACTCTCTCCCTGTGACCTCTGACCCCTCACTGTGCTGATGCTTCCACGACCGAGTCTGTCTTCCGATTGCTTTTCTCAGGCTACACTACTTCCTTCAAGCTGCTTGGCTTGGTGACAGTGTGACAGGTCTTGCCAGGCACTGCTGTTCCCCTGGCCTCAGAGTTAATTCCCCCAGTGTCTAATTTAGTCCAGTCCCACAAGTGTGGTGCACCTGCCATTCCCTTTTCAATGGGGATATGCGGAGATGTCTGAATGGGTTCCCTGACTTTCCTGGGCGAGGGAATCACTCAGACATATAGTATTGTATTTGGATGGTCCCAGCTTACAATGAGCTAACTTACATTTTCCTACCTTTACTATTGGCAGAAGCAATGTGCCCTCGGCGGAAAACATTCTTACGGGGCTTGTAAGATGGCTCAGTAGGTAAAGCAGTACCACACAGCATGATGACCTGCTTTTGGACTTCCCAACACCCACATAAAAACGTGGGAGCAGTGGCATGGGCTCTATAATCTCAGTTCTAGGGAGGTAAAAACAGGAGAACCCTGGGCTTGTTGGGCATCTGCCTAGCTCAACTGGTGAGCCTCTGCTTCAGGGAGAAGCTCTGACTCAGAAACTAAGACAGAAAGATTGAAGGAGGCACCTGACATTGAATGCCCTCCCATCTTTCCCACCTCCCGTCCTCTCCCCCACCCCCACATACATACCGTACTTGAAATTTTGATTTGGATTCCTTCCCTGGGTAATGGTATCAGGTCTAACACTTTCTCTGGCTGCTGGGCAGTGATAGCAAGTCATGTTATCACAAGGGGAAAACCCCACACCAGACTGTGCAGTGTGTGTGGCCTTGCTTAGCCACAGTGTTCCACAGCGGTTGTGTGTGGAATGGGTTTTCAGATTAGGATATCGCTGGCTGACAATAGCCTTGTTGGGATTAGAGTGCTTTGAAAATTCAGGGCACTGTGTATGCTGGCAAATATTTTACGTGATTTATCAGCGGGGGCAATGATTTAGGAGCTGGGTGATTGTTTCTGGACATGTTGGGGGAAGAGGAAATGGCTGAAGACTAGAGGAAGGAAAGATGTCTTCGGGAGGAGAGGCAGGAAAGCTCAATAAGAGGCAAACAAGATTTTCAGAGCCACTTCCGGGTGTCTGACACCTCAGTGCTGCTTGACCAACTCTACGCTGTGCTCATTTCTGGCACTCCAGGAACCATCCAAGTGGGGTAAGGGCTGATTCTCAATGGGCGGTTGGGAGTGGGTACACACCTTGAGAAGTACTCACTGCCCTTGTCTCTACCCCTCCCTCTTAGCACACAGGATACAGGTGACGTAGAGGAAACGTGCTGTTCTTGTTTGAAGGGTAGCACAGCAGCCAAGGAGTCAGTGGCTACAGATTGGTTGGAGCAAGGTCTCTGGTGTGCCAGCAACCTGAGGAGCTCTTCCTCCAAGAGCCCCATGCACCTGTCAGGATGAAAAGGATGAAGAGTCCCTGGGCTGCCTCTGTCAACTATTTTGCCCACAGTCCCTCCATCTTCCCTTGGGCTTCCTGGTCTCACTCCCCTGAATGGCATTGCCCATCTGATACATCCGGAGTGTGGTTAGCCTCTTTCTAGCCAGGCTCCAAAGAGTCTCAATGCTACAGACCAGGCCTGTGGGGTTCTCTCCACTTCCACATTTTACCCCTCTGGCCTCAGTGATCACCCCGTGCCTCTCTGACTGAGACTCTGAAGGGCCATCTCTGTGTCCTCTACCCTGACCTTTTGGGGTCAGAAGCACGGGTCTGTGTCTAGTGGTATCTAGCTTCTAATACCAACTCAGAGGAAAATGCAGTCCTTCCTTTCTCTATCTTGCAGCTAGGACAAAAAGAGGCTGCTCTCACAGGAATCTAAATCCATTCAGGCCGCTAAATAAAAACAGGAGTGGGATTTAACTTCACTATCCACCTGACTTCCTTTAAGCTCCCGAGGGCAGGGTCCATTGGTTTGCCTGCTGTCTGTGGACCTAAGGTCCCTCAGTGACACACCTCCTTCAATAAGGCCACACCTCTCAATCCTTCTAAACCTGTTCCATCAACCAGGGACCAAGAATTCAAACTTATGAGCCTTGGTGGGCCATTCTCATCCAAGCCACCATACATGTGGCTCCTGTTTGTGAAGCAATTTATTCCAGGAAAATAGGTGAGCCACACCTTCCCAGGCTTCCTCCTCTGTCCTGCAGGCTCTCAAGCTCCCAGTCTGGTTCCTTGTTTCAAGACAAAACCAAACACAAACTCGAACACACAGAGTGCTGGCTCCCCTCACTCAGATCTCCAGATGTGTATCTGTGTCTGTGGGGAGCTGTCTAGGCACAGTTTCTGCTGCCACCTGCTTTGTTCCAACAGGCAACAGGGTCTCGTGGGTAAAGGGTTGGGTGGAAATCAGAAAGTGGGAATTCTAGTCCCAGCTGTGTCCCTTCCATGTGTGACTTGGTGAGTCACAGCATCTGTCTATGACAGGGACGTGGGCAGATGCTCCTCAGTGACACCTATCGCTTATGTCATCTGTCTTTGAACCCCAGGAGGGTACAGCAGAGAGTCTTTATGGGTTGTGTTGCAGGCATCTCTGAAATGAGTACTGTGTTCACCAGTGCCAAAGCTGGCAGCACAGGGAACCGAGCATGGTAGAAAATCAGGCTTCTTGTGCCGCCCACAGCATGAGGTGCCTTCCTCCCTTCCTCCTTGGAACCTGGGAATTTTAATGCTGTACAGTATTGTTATGAAGACTTACATAAGATAAGCCATGTAAAAATTTTAGTACATTAGCCAGAGCATAATAAGGTTTGATAAGTGTTACTCTTGTCATTGCTTTGTGAGCCATTGCCTACAGGAATCTTTCCACCAGACTCAAGACTACTGGCTCCTGGGAGATGGCCCCTCCTACCACACATCTGCCCTCCCCTTGGCCTGCCTTGGCAGGGACAGACAGACTTAAACCCCTCTAGCTTCAGTGACGTTGCTCTGGGTCTTTCCTTTCCACCAAGACCCCTGTCTTCAAATAGCTGGGGGTGGAGGGCACGGGGAGATCCTCAGCACAGGGATCCTTTGTTGTTTGGTTCTGAGCCCAGGCTTGCTGCTGTTCAAAGCCTTGTCTTAGAACAGCCACAGGGCTCTGTGGAATTCAGAGACGTTTGCTAGGACTCTTCCCTGGGCCTCGGGATCCTCCACCCCCGTCAAAATGGAAACAAAGGCTTTCCTTGATGGAGCTTGATGGAACACTTCTGGGGTCTCCTGAGCTCCACCGAGAGCTTTACAGTGCATCATTGAATGCGCACACAGCCCTGGGAGCTGCCCGCTGTTAGGATTTGTCCTTCTTAGACCTGACTGGCTACATAAAAAAGGTTCTGGAAGTGGGCAAAGAAATCCAGGGCTGCTGCTTTCTGAATCTAGCTCTCAGCCACTGGGCTTTAGTGCTTCAAGGAAGAACTGGGAGCTCTCTTATCTTGCTCTGCATCCCTGAAGGGGCCTCATGTTCTACTCTAAAAGTAGAGGACTAACGGGGAGCTGATGGGAGCATCTCGGCGCTCCTTATAGTCAAATGGCATGTAACTGAAGCCTGAGAGGCAGAGAAGCATGCTTGGAGTTTAGAGATCTTATAGTGCTGGCCCTGAGCTGCCTCCAGCCTGACTGACCATGCACCCCACTTTTTGGCCGAGTGTCTGTGGAGGCAGCTCTGCAGACCCTCAAGGGCTTCCCCCTCTTTCCCATTCCAGGCCTTTTAAACCTGGAGAAGCTGCTCCGGCAGTTTCTTATCTCCAAGGACACACTCTCGGTCCGGATGCTGGACGACACACGGGACCCCACTCCACTCCTCAAGGAGATCCGGGACGACAAGACAGCCACTATCATCATCCATGCCAACGCCTCCATGTCCCACACCATCCTCCTGAAGGTGGGAGCCTGGCTAGGGTGGTGGCTGGGAGCATGATTCACCCTTCTCACCCTGTCTCTCCTGACTCAGGCTATGGCTACCCTTTGGTCCTGCACTGGATCTGAATGCAGAGTCCCTCGAATTTGGTTTCCATGGACAACAGATCCGCCAAAGAGAAAGCAGGATGATGATGCCACTCGGAAACACCTAGCACCTAGTGGGGCTGAGAGACCAGTTGGACCTAGAGTTAGACTTGAATGGCGGGGAGCCATGTGTCAGACAGTGTACACATAGCACGGGTGGTGCTGAGCGTCAGCCTGTCCTCAGCCCTGACAGCCCTTCAGCAGCTTGCAAAGTGCCTCCCTGTCATTTCACAGCGTGGTCCTCTTCCCAGGTGCTGTGAGATAGGTATGCTGTTGTCTTCCTCCTGAGGATGAAGAAGCTGAGGAGGTTATCAGCTGTCAGAGGTCAGCCCTGTGGGAATCAGGGCGCAACACGCTTAGTTTGCTCTCTCTCTCTTTCTCTCTCTCTCTCTCTCTCTCTCTCTCTCTCACACACACACACACCACACACACACACCGCTGGGTAGGCACTTTCTATGAAGCTCATAACGACCTAGAGTGATGGCCAAGCCAACATAAGCATGTGGACATGGAACTTTGACAGAGAGGCAGGTCCCAGAGAGAGAGAAGTCAGGTGATTACGGTAACATGGACATCTGGATACAGCTGGGCAGCTGAGGTGCCACCTGGCACCAGTCCCTGAGCTAAGCATGTGCTTCAGAGAGCAAGCCTTGCTCTAGGCTCTTCCTTGGCTCCTCAGCAGTCCCCATAACTGCTCAGGCACATTGACCTCTCTTAATGCAATTTTAATTGCACATTTAAACACACCCTGCCATCTTCCACTGGGGTAGCCAGGCTTCTTGTTAACCTCTGCCAGGTTGTGCGGAGCCCCAAAACACTTAGTATCTGTCTCTTCCTCTCCTTTCTTTTCTGCTTTTTTTTTCTCCCTCCCCTGCCCAGGTCTTTTTTCTTAAATCTTGGAGTTAATAAGAGATTTGAATGAGTTCTCTCAGTACTGTCCCTTCAGCCTGTTGCTATAGTAATTTTCCACAGTATCAAAACCACATCTGTCTATGAGCACTCAACTTATGAAAGAACACTCAAACACTCACACACACAGACTCACATACATAGAGCTATACACTCAGAGAGAGAGAGACACACACACAGGGAGTCACACAAAGACTCAGAGACATACTATATATACACACACAAAATACACAGAGAGAGAATATGAATACACAAAGAACACACAGACACACATACGCAGAGACACACTCACACACAAAATACACACACAGTCACACAGAGACATGAACACACATAGACTTATACACATACACACACAGACAAACATAGAGACATACATGCACAGAGATACAGAGAATCATGGACACACACAGACAGACACACTAATGAACCCACAAACACACACAGAGAGAGACATAAATACACACACGACAGGCGCACACACACATACACAGACACACACACACCTTTTTGTCCTTTTCTTTCTCACATCTGGAGATATTATCAGTGATGTCATTAAGAATGAAAATGCCCCTGTAGGTTCCAGGGAATGAGATAAGCAGGCTGAGGGATCATCTTTAGGGCTAAGAGCTTCAGCTCAGTAAACATATGCTTCTAGCATCCCTGTGGAGTGATCCCAAAAGTGCTCCATGACTCCTGGAGTAGCAAATTGCTGCCTCCCAGCCCCCACCCTACTCCCACCCTGATAAAATTCTGCATTCATTGCTGGGATTTTAAAAAGTACAAAGAAGTGTAAAGGGGAAAATAAACGCCACTCACAATCCATCCCCCAGCCTTAACCTTTCCTAAAATTTTAATGTCTATTCTCGCTGCTTCAGACATCCACCAATTATCCCCACAGTGCTTAAAACTTTCTGTAATCAGCTATTCTTTTTGCTCAACTATATATCATACATTTTCCATGTCATTAAATATTACTCTACAGATATTTTAGTGGCTGTATCATTTCCTATCATGCTGGTGTCCCATAATTTATTTAGCCATCCCTTCATCCTTGTAGAAACAGGTTGTTTCCAATCTTTTGCTATGATAAATAATGTTAGGGCACACATCTTCATACATAAATCTTTCTGCACGTGCATTCATGCATATTTCTTTAGCGCATGCTTCTCAAAGTGGAATGCCAAGTTCAAGCTCTGAAGGAGTTTGAGTCAACTCTCCACCCCAACCATTTCTATGCTCAGAAGTGGCATCCATTGCACCTTTACCAGTACTGGGAGGTTCCTTTAAGAATACCTGGTGTTTTCCCATCTCTTAGAGTTTTTCTGCAGGGGGAGGAGGCTCTGAGATACATGTATCTATCTACTTATTGCATCGTACTTTTGAAGGCAACCGTCAATGATGATCCTCATTATCAGACAGCTGTTCTGGGTGCCCCATGGCCATCTTTTCTAAACCCTTCCTTCTACCTACACTCTCCTCTTTACAGCCAGACTGATTGATGAACAGGGAGGCGTTGGGGAAGCCTGTTGCCTTGCTTCTCACTTGACATCCTGGTAGCCACAGGCAGGCAGATTCTCCTGCAAGACTGGCCTCTATCCTTAGGCTTCCATGAGCTCCATATTCCTCTCTCTGGCAGGGCTTTCTGGAGTCCCGTGTGCATGGCTCTAGTTGGCAGCTCTTGGTAGCTTCTTGATTTCAGGAGGCTTTGCACAGTAATCCCCTACTTTATTGAGTTGCTGTTTCAGCAACGAACTTCATGTTTACCCAGAATTCATGTCTTAAAAACCAAGGATCTCTCGTCTTTTATCTCTAGGACAGCAGGTTTTACAAAATGGAGTTTAACTACTGACTGTGCCCCCTAGCCTGCTCCTGGCTTGATGCCTGTCATCAGTAGCTCATATGCGTCTAGGCAGTGTCCAAGGGAGTGGTATTCTCATAGAAAAGATGTAAGTGGGTGTGGTGGGGTGCGATGGTGGCATCCTGCTTTACCATTGTCTTGAGAGTGAAGGAGGTGTTAAAGGGAGGAGCCCCATGGAACTCTTGCACTCTGTGGCAGCCCCACACAATCTTGACCTTGTCACCAAGCCCTTCTGCATTTCAGGTGCCCATTGGGGGACCATGGTGGTGTCAGTGTATCCTGGACCTCAGACAGCTAGGGAGATACAAAGTTAAGAATGCTCACAAAGTTATTTGAGTTCTTGGAAGAGAAGGAGGAAAATGCAATTATCCTGGTCTTGTTTCTCCCCTCCTCCACCACAATAGTTATGACAAGAGCCATCTCCCAGTGGCCCGGGGCTGCAGGATATATTATGAAAATCTAACGGACTGTCAGGAGGGATGAGAGCCCTGGAGAGAGCCAGGCTCATTACTTACCTGATCTCCTTGTCAGTTTCTGTAGCACCTGTCACACTCAAAGCCAGGCACACTGACAGGGAAGGTTGGTTAGGGGTGTTGATGATGGCTGCAGAGATCAGACAAAAGGAAGGCTGTACCAAAGCCACATTCCTCAGCTGTGGAGATGACACTACACCACTCTATTGTGATCAAGGGTGAGGCATGTCATGGGCAACTTGTTCCTTAGCAGGAACAAAGGAATCTGGTTTGCAAATGATTCACTTGATCTCCACATGGCTGCAATTCCAGCCTACTGAGGTCTCACCTGCAATCTGACAGAGGCAAGGTACATTTGGCCATGCCACACAGTATTACTCACAGACCCTCAGATGCTGTGTATGTACTTTCATCAAGCCTGTAGTCCTTGATGGGAGGATGGTTTAGTTAAAAGCCTTGGAATTAGGCTGCACATGATCTCATACAAGTGACTTAGTCATCGTTGTACCAGTTTTCTCTGCTGGAAGATGGGAGCTGATGAAGAAAAATAGTGCTTGTCCCCTTTTGGTCAACTCATTCAGAAGGCTTTTAGAGTATATGGCCAGACCAAACAGTAGGCAAACCTTAGCCAGTGCTATTGTTTGGAGTCATGGAGATTATTCTAGTATGTTTCCTTATTTTCTCCATTTCCCTTAAACCCATTCTGGTTCCTGTAATATTCAGTCCTATTTGTGGGAGTGTGTTATACATGCAAACACCAGATATGTGGGTGTCCCTCAGGGTGAGGAGTTGGGTGAGACAGACAGAACATGCTCTAGAGGCTAATGTTTCTGTCGTTCATCCTCTAACTTCCAGGGCCACTTGAGAACCAGCCAAGATGCTCTGCTCTGTTCTGTGCTGAGGGTTAGTGGTAGACTTGGCGCTCTTGCTGCCCCTCAACTTCCTGGGAGTTTCTCTTCTCTAATCTTCTTTTCTTTGCATTGCAGGCAGCTGAACTAGGAATGGTGTCAGCCTATTACACATACATCTTCACAAATCTGGTAAGACATTTTCACAGCCCTCCTCCTTAGCATACTGTTGTCAGTGGGTCCTGATGGGGTGATGTCTAGAAGAGGGCTTGTAGGGAAAGGGAGGCAAAAAGAGCAGAAGGCAACCATAATGTCTGAGTGTCGTGAAGACACGGGATCCAGAAGCCTGTGGGATTTTCATGCCAACACTTTAAGCCTTGTGAGAATGGGAATGTGGAGGCTCTGATGGCCCCACACCTCCTGACTGTCACTGGTTTTATAGCAAAGAATTTCTCAGGGCAGCTGTGTGATGGATGAGCTTCCTTGGTACCTATAGTTTCTGGCCTTCAATAGAGCGCCCCGCCCCACGCACAACATCATCCCAATCATCATGACAGCTCAGAAGGAGGAAAGATAGGGCACAGATGTACGCATGTCTGATGGTGTTGTAACTGCTTGTATCTCCACAGGTCATCTTAGCTAGACCCCTTATTTTACGGATGAGAAAGCTGGAATTGTGTTGAATTAGGTTTAAGTACTAGCTCTGCCAAAATACCAGCCATGTGCCCTTCAACAAAGCACTGAGCCATGTGTGGTGTGGTTATCCATGAACAGCTACATCCCTGGGCTGTTGTCAAATTATATGACTTAACATATGAGAGACATTTTGAAATTGTAAAGTGTTAAGAAATGTGAGAAGCACTGGGCAGTGGTGGCACACACCTTTAATCCTAGCACTGGGGAGACAGGGGTAGATGGATCTCTGAGTTCAGACCAGCCTGGTCTACAGAGTGAGTTTTAGGACAGCCAGGTCTACACAGAGAAATCCTGTCTTGAAACAAACAAATCAAAGAAATGTGAAAATTATTGTGATATATATGTGTAGGCGGGTGTGTGTGTCAATGTATACAACCAATTCAAGAACAGTCAGAAATTAAGAAAAGAAGCTTTAAAAAATAGCTGGCGCTGGAGTGATGGTTCACAGGTTAAGAGCACAGACTGGTTTTGCAGAGGACTCACGTTTGGTTCCCAGCACCCAAACAGGTGACTCACAACCTGTAGCTCCAGCTCCAGGGCATGTGATGCCTTCTTCTGGTCTCTTCAGGCATCTACACTAACATACAAATATGGATAATTAAAAACATTGTCTTTAAAAATGTGTAACTTCTAATGTAGGAGTAATGACAAGACGTCTAAGAAGTCACAAAAATGGTGCCAAGCATTTGTTTGCCAAACTTGGAGCTCCTGGGCTTTCTTTATGGCACTGCCCTTTATTTAAACCTGCCACACTGCCCCCTGCCATCTCCAAACCTTACTGGCCACTAACCTGCACCCCGAGTCTCTTAACTTTATAGCCTGAGGAAAGTGAAGCTTTCTGAGGCTGGCATGCTCGCGTGGTGGAAAGCCCTGGGGACGCACCTTGGCTGTTGCATCTTTACTGCTAATTGGGTTTCATGGTTAGTTGTGCTGCAATTTGCTCAGTTGTTAAGAGGCTGGGAGATGCCTTGGTTATTTCCCGTGTGCTGTTATAGATCGTCGTTCAGAGACGTTTATTTTATTTGACAAATCACTTGACTAGGCTAGTCATTACCTTTCACGCCGCCGTGCCCGAATACCCAACAAGAAGCAACTTAAGAGAGGAAGGGCTTATTTTGGCTAGCTGTTTGAGCGGACAGTGGTGCAGAAGGCATGGTGTCTGGGCATCAGGCTGGAGGGGTGGAGCTAGCATGCCCTGTTTTTCCAAAGATCAATGAGCAGAGTGCAATCCTGCTGGAACTGCAACCAGACTGTAACCCATAAGGTCCTCTCCTTGGTGAACCACATCATCTGCTAGACTCCCCACATTCCAAAAACTGCTCAGCTTTACCAAACAGTACTGGGTGGGAACCAAGCACTCAGACACAAGAGTTTGTGAGGGATATCTTACATCCAAGCAATGACAATAGATATCCTGTAGCCACTAGGTTGTCAAACGCTTCTTTATTTGGTTATTTCTTAAAAGCTTATACATCCCTTCCAATCCCCCAGCCTCAGATAGGGGAAAAAGAAGGTTGCAAGGGAAAGGGGATATAGCCTTTTTTACTTCTTCCTGCTGGGTAGGGTTGTAGGATTCTTTGGGGGACAATACTGATATCCGTCGTCAGGAAATCCAGAAGTCCAGATAACCAGCAAACTGCAAACAGTCATCCTCTTGGAGAAAAGCCACTGTGCCTTCTTCTCTGGGCTATCATGTTTATAGTCCTCAAAGTGCTCAGAAGTTAACTAATTCCAGCTGGCAATGACCACGCTTTGCACGAGACAATTAACAGGTGTGGACAAAGTAAAATCCCCTACTTGGGATTATAGCAAAAATATGTTTACATATCATATAAAAAATATGTCCACAATAGCCCGCTTCATCCAGACATGCTTTTGGGTGGTTCTTGAACACTAGGTACTGAGCAGCCATGAGGAGTTGAAACTGGAATAAGAAATCAAGCCTGGGGCTGGCAAGATGCCTCAGCTGATGAAGGCTGCTACTGCCAAGCCCTATGACCTGAGCTTGATCACATGGTAGAAGAAGAGAAGAAACTCCCACGAGCTGTATGTGCATGTGTCCCGTAGCATGTGTGTGGATGCTACACACACACACACACACACACACACACACACTAAATAAATAAATAGAATGTTAAAAAAAAAAAAGAAAGAAGCCAAGGGTGCTTTGTGAAAACCCAAAGTACCCCTGACAGTAAAATGTAGAGAACTCTACTCTTAGATATGTTATAAACTGCACCAGCCCACCCTCCCTCCCCTTCCTCTGTGGCAGGGACTAGTACTCAACTTGGGGCAATAGGGGAGAGCTTCATTGAAGAAAGTGCTGGGAGAAAAGTAGGGTCCTTCTGAACACACAAGGAAAGGAAGATGGCTCCGGGATAAGGAACTGCACCCTCAGGTACTTGGCCATAAGACGGTTCATGGCATGTCCAGAAAAGAGCAAGGGCCTTTAAAGTCATGCATTGCCAGGGATGTGAACTCACTTGTTTCTTATTCACTGTCTGCTGACATCTTCTCCGAAAATAACCAGTGAGTGGAAAGAGCCTGGCTAAGGAAAGAAACAGAATTCACCCTCACAACTTGGACTCTTCAAAGGGAAAGGTGGCTTGTTACTAGACCTTGCTGACAGTGTACACAGGATGGGTTAGAAGATCATCAGTCTCCCTCCCGGAACTAGGGACCAGGTCTTCTGCAGTATTTAAGTGATGTTTGCCTAGATCAGCAGGCCTGGAGTCATTTCGGGTATGATGCACAGCCCCTCTTGGGGTTGCTGTGGAATTGTTGGCCGTGATACATTGGTGGGCCCAAGCTCCCAGGGTTGAAAGATTGTAAAGGAATGGAGCTTTTTTCCCCTTCCTTCAGGTATGGGGTCTCCTTCCACAGGGACTTGGAAGGAAGTCATTCTCCATGGCTTGAACTTCACAGCACATGGCTGGCTCATCACACCATCTGACTTATAGCTAATGTCTGGGTTCGTTGTAACTGTTTTTACTTTTGTAGCCCAAACTGGCCTCAGAACTCATGGTAATCCTCCTGCCTCAGTCTCCTGAGTGTTGGAGTTACAGGTGTGTGCCACCGTGAAGAGCCCATGGGATCATTTACTCAAGTCTGGTGAGCAGATGGAACACCGTGCATATTATATATGCACAGAGCAAAAAGAGCTGTCTCCAAGTGAGCACACCTGTGCAAGCAGCCTCTACATCCAGAAATAGAATATCACCAGAACCCCAGAAGCCCCCCTCACTTCCCTCAAAATGTGAAATAGAGCGAACTCCTTTGTTTGCCATTTTTGGGTTTATTTTTTTCTTTCTTTCTTTCTTCTATCTAACTCTGCAGCTGTGAATCAGAGAATTAACATGTAAAAGGGGGAGAAGAGGCTTATACAGCAATGGAAATGGGTTTGCTTAAGGTGAAGGGCCATCTGGGACAGCCTGGGCAAGTTGGCAGGAGAGGAAAGAGATTAAAGCACAGTCGTGCTGGTAGGGACAAAGAGAGGAGGAAAGAATGGTGGCGGGTGGATGGGGATTAAGTTGTCTGCACTCTGCCAGGCTGCCAAGGAGGAACCTTGCATCAGACAACAGCAGTAGCTTAAGATAGAGCTGGGCATCTCTATGTCACCAGGCCACTCAGCAGGCAGAAGGAAGGAGATTCCCCACAGTGGTCAGAATAGATGGAGGTGCTGGCTTGGGTTTCTAGGAGGACAGCATCTACCATGCAGTGTATCATCTTTTTCTCTCTCTTCTTGGAGGGTGACAATGTTCTCTAGTAGGAAAAAAATGTACTGTCAAGTCAGGAGGCCCAGGTACCAAGTCCTCATTCTACCTTGTCTTCCCTGGTGACTTTAAGAGAGTTGCACAGACGCTCAGTGCCTCCAGTTTCTCATTTTTGGACATAACAAAACCTTACAGTGGATGTTGCTGAGCCGTATGTGGCAAAGCCTCCTGTGGCGTCCCTAAGGACCTTATGGTTTTTCATAGCAGGAGGATGCTTTTGCAGTTCAGAGCTTTCCTTCTTGTTGGAGGGCATGGGGCGAGAATAGCTCTGCGCTTTGCCTCAGCCAGAGTCCTTTGCACCTGGAATCACCAGGACTCGTGCCTGCCAGTGGGTTTTCAAGGGGAAAGCAGAGACCTCACTATTTGAGCGTCGCTGCTTGGGAACCGGTCAGGAAAACAGAAGCAGGAATGCTGCAGAAATCAATCAGTGAGAGAATTCTGGAAGCTTCTCCATAATTCCTTGTCTTTCTAGCAGGAACAGGATCCAGTAGGAGTAAAGCACTGTTTTAGGGCCAGCCTTGCTGCCTGGAGTTCTCAGAGCCTGGAAACAGAGCAGAGGGGCTTCACAGCCCAGGAGGATATGCTGAGCTCTCCAGGTCCTCCCACCAAGCTGATGCACCTGCCTTTCCTTCTTCCTTGCTCCCTCTCTCAGGCCCTAGGGAACCCTGTCTCATCCCCTCTCTCTAGCTTTGACAGCAGTGGTAAGTTTTCAGCTCTCCCTCTTGAAAACAAGCATGGAGAACTGGGCACAGACTTGGGCATTGATAGACAGGCCTTTAACCTTCTAGTCTGAGCAGCTACCCGCTGTGCAGACTACTTAACCTGTCTGAACTCTGGTAATCTCTTTGGTCAGTGGGCCCTGCACCTAGCTCAGGAGAGCAACTGGCTCACAATTTGAGTTTAATAAAGGAGAATTATTACATTAGAAAGTCTAGGCTTTGCTTCTTGCAGATTAAAAGGAACAGGAAACATATTTTGCTCCCTCCCCCGAAAAAATGATCCCTAAAATACCATTTTATTGATTTCCAGTGACTGAACACAACCCGGTCGATCAGTTATTATGCATGAGCATACTTGCCATGGCAGGACGTTTGTGTGCATGTCAGTAATTGCTGAGTATTGACCATGTCCTCATGCCTCAGTCCCATCCAGGTGCTAAGAACATTGTTTGACATAGGGCATCTGTAATAAATGAATTAAACTGACAGCTCTGGGTTCGATCTGTGGATTACCTATAGCAAGAGTTAGGACCAAATGACCAATCAAAATAAATTAAACATAAAGCCATCAATTCATTGAACCCTGTTCATGCTACACAAAGCACAGTTTCTTTCCCAGTCAGGGCCTGGGCATCGGGGAGAGTGTGCATGTCAGCCTTGAACTTTGAGTGACATGCAAGAAATGTTGCTGACCCAGGAAAACACTGGGGCTGCTCTTGGGTCTAGCTGAGGCCAGCAGATCCCAGCAGAGCCTGTGGTTTAGAAGTCAGGCTGGTGGGTCCTTGTGAAGCCTAACTCAGTGCCAGAGGGATAGAAAGGTGTAAGATAATGGGACAGACGCTTCAGCAGCACACGTTGGTGGCTTAATTGACCAGTAAAGCAACTGCTCGTCCCCATTTATGGTTCTAAGGAGTCAAGAATCAGTCCCAGCGGATCAAGTCTTTGATCACAGATGGGAGGCACCCAGATGACGTGGGAGCCTGGAGCAGACTGTTGGCTCATGGGGCACAGATCACAAAATATGAGAAATCACAGAAAGCCAGAGGTTTATGTGGCCAGAGGTCAGGATCATGGAAGGTAATAGGAGGAAGCAAGGCCCAGCCAGGAGAGCAGGTCAAGGTTAGGTTGAAGAGAGAATGTGTACTAAGGAAGGGACAAAGCAGGACAAATAGAATCACTTTGTGTTGTATTAAGTCATTAAAATTTGCTATTGATGTATCTTTTAGTAAAGCTGTGGTTAATCCTAAACCAGCTGTACACCCAAATCAGCACACAGAGACTGGGATTTATTTAATTAACCTAGATCACAGTGCTGGGCAATAGTTATTCCTTCCTAAACCTCCAAGCCCACGTAGTTTCCTACCATTCAGATTTTACCCATTATACTTGCTTTTAGTGATATCTTAGGTCCAGTCCATCTCTCCACCTCATTCCAAGACCTCTCCTCCAGCCTCTGCTCTCCCAGCTTCTGCTCCTGCCACTTCTCCTCCTCTGTCTCCTACTCCTTCCTGTCCTCCTCTTCCTTCCTCTCCTCCCACTCTGAACTAGGATGTCCCACCCTATCCTCTCCATTGCTCAACATTGTGGCTGGTTGTTTTAATTGACATTTTAGAGACCAAATGGTGGCATGTTTACACAAACTTGAGACAGGTGATGCTTAGAATAAGTATCACAATACAATGTCAGGATTGAAACCAGATAGTGGGGGAGAGAAATCAGCATTTGAATGAACCAGGGTAAGGTGTATACATTCCAAAACATTATATCAACAACTGTGCAAAGTCATAAGGCAACACTTGCACAGCCCAGAGAGCCAGTCCTGCCCTGGTTCAGAAGTCACTCAAGCAATCTTCCTTCTCTCTCTTCTACATTTCCTTTCTACATACTCTTTTGTTTTGTTTTGTTTTGTTTTGTTTTGTTTTGTTTTGTTTTGTGTGTGTATGTCAAAGTAGATATAACATAGAATTTGCTATTTTAAGCCTTTAAGTTTACAATTCAGTAATATCTACACAGTCCTGTTTATAAGCATCAACACCATTTCTAAAACTCAAGGAAACCCCAAAACAACAGCTCCTATTCCTTCACCCCTCTCCCTCTCCCTTTGTTCTTTCTTCTCCGTGAATTCACCCCTTCTAGGTGCCTCACACCAGAAAGGTTATACAATATTACGTAGCTGGTATCTGGCTTATTGCACTCAATGTAATATTTTCTAGCTATATCCATATTGTACCATGTATCAGAATTTCATTTCCTTCATTTTAACAAAAAAAAATTCTACTATGATAAAAATACTCGTAAAAACATTTACCATTTTATCCACCATCAGTGACTTTCAGTGGCACTAGACATATTTGCATTGTTATGCCATCATCATCCCCCTCCACTTCTGCAATGCTCTCCCATCTTCCCAAACCAAAACTATTCTTATTACACAGGTGCTCTGGTCTCCTCCTATTCCCAGCCCTCTCTGGTCCCTGAAACACACATCCACATTTTTCTGTGAATATGACTATGTGCCTCACGTACACAAAGTCATAGAACATTTTTTTCCTTTTGTGTCTGGCTTACTTTATGCAGCTTAATGTCTCTAAGGCTCATCCTTCTCCAAGATGAATAATATACCATGGTATACCACATTTTGCATATCCATTAACCCGTCAGCGAGTAGTCCAGTTGTTTGGTATTGTGACCCATGAACATGGATGTGCAAACATCTGTTTCAGTTTCTGCTTTTGCTCCTTCTGGGTAGGCACCTAAGGAGGGAACTTGCTGGACTCGACGCTCATCGCATTTTTAATTTATTGGGAAATCACCAAACTGTTTTCTAGAATGATTGCACCATGTTTCATTCCCAGCAGCCGTGCGCAAGAGTTTGAGCTTTGCTACAGCCTTGCCAATACTTCTTATTTTTCATTTTCTAATAAGAGCCATACTGGTGGGCATGAAGTGTTCAGATATGCTGCTTCTCTCTAGTTAGAGATTGCAGATTGGGAGAGTCAAGACCCCACAGGTGTAGTTGAGGGCCCTTCTAATGAAGAAGCTTTGTAATAAGAGGAAGCAGCTGGTGTTTAAGAACCCGGATCTGATGGACATTCAGAACAGACGAGAAGCCCTGCTCTGGTTCTTTTAGTCACTTGTGTGGACCTGGGGCTCTCGGGACTTTGGTTTCCTCATCAGTAAGATGTGAATAGTGGTAATGCCTGTCTTTAAAGGTCCTTAGTAGGAACTTTAGAATAGTTGTTGTTGGCACTGTAGCTAGTAAGCAGAGATAACTGCTACAGCTAATCAGTCCACAAATCCTGCTGATTCACGGAGAGGCAAGCATGCTGTCTCTCACTATGGGGAGGGAGGGATCCTAGGACCCTTTGTGAACAAAAAGAAATATGCAGATCTTCAAGTTCTTCCTTTAAGTGGTATAGTATTTTTCCCCATACTTTAAAGTAGATGCTGATAGTTATTATATGGTATCATTTAGAGAACAGTGACAAGGAAAGTATCTGTGCATGCTTAACACAGACCTAATTGTTCCCTGACTATTTTCAGTTGGCTGTGGGATGAAGCCACGGTGTGGAACCCACAAATATAGAAGGTAGACCGTACATGTCTTACCAGAAGTTCCACAAAGTTGTCCTTGATAGTAACAGCCTCAAATAAGGTCAGTTAGGGTCCCAGGCATCTCTAGCTTACAAATGTGCCTCATAGAGGCCAGGGGTAGGGAAAAAACATGGAGGCTCACATGCAGAGTAATTTATGGGTCAAGCTTCGAAGCAGTGCAGATCACTTCTTACAATTCTGTTGGCTGGATCTTATCATGAGACTGCACATGCCTGCAAAGGTGTCTGGGAAATGTAGTTTAGTTGTGTGCCTAGGTAGAAGGGGAACTAGGCTTGGTCATCAGCAACGAATCTCTGTCACATTATTGAACTACTAATTGCTACTGCACTTCTCTTTTGTGTGTGCTACAAGAGCAATTGGCACCAGGACCCTGGCTTGTCTGTTTAGAGGATAACTGATCCTAAGAGTAGATGCTAGCACCCAGGGTGTTGCTGGTGATCAAGATTGCTGGTGGCTTAGAGTGTGCCTGCCCTGATAGGGTGCACACAGGCCAGTTATGGACATACTTTACTTAGCTGCTGGAATAGAGTCTCTGTCCTCCAACCTGCGTGGCTGTGGTTGGAGGAACCTTTGTTTCACAAGACACGTGCAAGTTGGATACAAGACATGAAGAATTAAGGCTCTGGGCAAAGCCCAGTCTGCTATTGTGGCCATTGTGTCTGAAAAGAAGACGTGGAGGGGAAGCTAGATTTGAGCTAATAAATCTGGGGGGAAAGGGAGCTCCCCAGCTGCTAATGAACCCAGCAAGAGCTACAATCTCTTCCTAGTAGGAAAGAGAAGATCACTCTATAATCTACTGTCAGAGAGCTCAGGCAGGCCATGTGCCACAGCAGGAAGCTGCCACCTTGGTGGGGAGTGGTGTCCAGATTTACGGGTAAAGTCAAGAGCCTCATGGGAGGTCAGTGAAGAGCAGGAAACCTCGGAGAAACAGAAGCCTGGTCTGTTTGTCATCACCACCATTTCCGTACTGTGGGGTGCATAGAAGGCAGTGGCACCCCAGGCTTGTTCCCTGGGGGAATCTAGAGAGAAGCCTCAGGGGAATAGTTCTGCCAGCAGGAGGGGTTAAGGTTTTGGACTGGCAGTGGAGGCACTTGGACACCCAGGGCTAATCCTGCCACTGCTGCTGGATGACAGCAACGGCTGTACTTGCCGTTTTATTGAACGGCTTCTCTGTGCCGGGGCCCTGTAAACCCTACACCATGGTTATTTTCTCATGTAAGCC